GCCCCTGAACATTCCCTATGCCTGTTAAGTTTGTTTAAAAGTAGTGGGACCTGCATGCAATAGCATTGATCTAGCCACAGTAAACTAGGCCTCAGTCAATAGGCCCTATCAGCTACTACACAAGTCAGCTAATTCTCGGCAAATGTACTTAAATGCTCTTTTGAAAATGCTTTCATGCTCAGGTCTCTATTCTATGACTTATTGATATATTGACAATGCTACAACAGCCACTGAAATATCCTGTTCAAGTATTCAGCCCTGCAGTCATCGCACATCCAATCTGGGCTCACCACATGACTGGCCGCAGCTAAAACCACTTTTATGATGCTACATTATCCGCAACACTCAGCTGTTTATTATTGGGAGATACTGCATAGATTTTTATAAGGGGTTAAACGTTGCATTTTTAAACTCTGCTTTCGTTGTTATCCGGGACACGGTGGCATGTCTGGACCGCACGGTTTCATGTACAGAAATAGAAAATAGTTATGTGATAATTGATAATTCCTTAAGTAAATTGATGTCACTAAAAAAAAACCTAAAATATTAGTGAACATCAGTATTTAACTTCAAAATAATAATGTACCCAGTGTGATTAGAGGTTTTTTTAGTATTGTCTAGTGGAGTGTTGAATGGAAGACAGTGTGTTATAAATGACAGGACAAAGTATTTACCAATTCGTTTTTTTTGTTTGTTTTTTTTTTTTTTTGCTTCTGTGAAAATTAAAAGATGTTTAAATTTCAGTTGTATTTCTATTATATCATATATACTATTTCTGTTTTGTTCTTTTATTATTTACTATGTTTAATGTATGTTGCCAAGGCAACCCATCAACTCCATCCAGTGCATGCTGCTGTTCAACCTCTTCTCAACCAGCTCCAGACAATCTAGAAATCTGCCGCTGAGCAGCTGAGTCTCATCTGACTCGTGTCTGCGTAAATCCCTTCATGGGTGCTCAGATTACTAAATAATCCCCAGGTGATTTTTTTTCATCTTTAAAATAAAGCGAGCTCTCATTTTCTCAGCTGTGTGACTCCTGTAGTGATACCAATTCTCCACCTACACACACCGCACTCACACATCAGCCACAGTCTAATGCCACTCAGCTCCTCTGTGAACCCACTGAGTTCTACACGCTCACATGATATTTTTTTTCTCTCCACGTGTTCCCGACACATTTTTATTTAGATATTTAATCAACACACGTGACACTTTTAGCACACACACAACGCAGAGCCTCGTCCTTGATTTACACAGAAACCAAGACGTTTAATTCCAGGATCAGTGTTAAATCTTTTAGAGGCAAATGGCTTTGCCCGTTTCTCGTCTCATCTCTAACGGTATTACGGAATGATTAAAGCCGGGCTGACCATAATTAATGAAAGGTCATGAGTGGCCCTAAGAGTAGGATGCAAATGGAAGACATTAAATCTGTAGCCACAGATTAATTTCTGAAAATAGATGAGGGGAAACACTCAAAGCTGTGGCAGCAGGCCATTTCTAACCCAAATTTCTGAGATGTTGAGGACAATAGCCTGAAGGTTGTCTTCTAATTAATTGTCTTCATTTACCACCCTAATACAATGATATGAACAGTTCCATTAATCTAATCATGCAAGCTGAATGGGCCCTGTTGCCGAAACACAGATTACACTCATCCGTTGTGAGCGTATAAATATCAGCTTCACTCTGCCCGTCAGTCAGAAAGGAAATCCCCACAGACTCTCTCTGCTCCACCGTCTCCTCAGCTGAGGGAAAATCTGCTCAGCACCCAGGATGCTGCTCCTGCGTTTCACCAAGCCGTGCAGAGGCACAGTCAGACCCATAGGTGTCACTCTCTACAAGCAGGGAGAGGGCTACTTCTCCCTCACACATTAATGAGGTGCAATGGGGGGAAGGAGCAGAGCTGCATCAGACAGAAACACATGGGGAATGAGGAGAAGGAAAAGAAATATGTGAAGATGACAAAAGCAGATGCTGCGAAGAGGCGACCAGTAAAGATGAGACACTGAAATGGGCCAGATTACCTTCAGATGAGCCGGAGCAAGCGTCCTTTCCCCCTGAAGAGCAGTGATTACACTAATGCTAATCAGACTGACAAGCACAAACGGCCTAATAAATAATTGATGGTAACCACTGCACTTTCCAGTATTCCCTTCCAGACTGTGAAGAAGAGCAGCAACAAGTAATAATAGTCTCCCTAGATGTATTTCACTGGTTCAGGCCTCACCACAACTGGTCCTAGCAAAGGATTAGTCCAATTTAATTAAAACCAAAACCAAAAACAAACAGCGTTTTTGCATCTATCTCCGTGTCATCATTGTTTCTGAAGGACAGCTGAGATGAGCTCCTCCTTGTCCCCGGATTCTAGCATCTGTGAGAGAAGGTTGAGCTCCACGTCTCTCAGGGTCTCCTGTTTGGAGCCGTGTCTCTGCGCTCTCATTACTATCATTATGTTCACTCAGGCTGTTATCATTTTAACCAGGTGTCAGAAGACGGCACTGTAAATCAGAGGTGTGCGTCTTCCCCTGCTTTATCCGGGGCTGGACAGCTTCCTTCTCTTAAGCGCTGCACTGTCGGATAAAAAGAAATCTTATTTCACACTTCACAGACTCTATCTTTTTTCCCCCTGCTTCTTCTTTTGAAAATACCCCCTCCCGCTCCCCCCCAATCATCCCTGCCACCCCTTCCTTATATCAAAGTTGCCCTGACTCCGGACTAGAGGGTGCAAAATGAAAGTGACAGGAGGGTAGCATGGGACAATGAGACACAGGAGCCATGCTGTGGGCTTTCTTTTATTGTGTGCTCCTCATATCAGCACCTCTCTGCCCCGTATGCAAGACCTCCTCTTAAAGAACAACACACAGGAAAGAACACTCCTGCCCTTCATTATACCCGCTTCCACACACACACACACACACACACACACACACACAAACGGCACCCTCACAAGCTAACCTCCCGTAAAACTACAACAGCAGTAAATACGGCCACAAACTGACCAAAGACAAAAAAGGCATTCATTCAAAACTAACAAACAAAAAGCCACGGCATTGGCAGAACTGTTCAAGTCCCAAAAAACCACCACAAGTAAATATTTGGAGTCTATGCAGAGTAAAAAAAAAATATATATATATAAAATCAAATCCAAAATCCTACTCTCACTCTTCCACACACACACACACACACACACACAGAAATGAAGGCTTTCTGTCTCCTCTTTTCTCACTGCTGCTCTCGCTCTCTCCCACACACTTTCTCTCTCAGTAAGGAAAGAAGAGTGAGCTAACTCAGCGCTGCTGGTTGAAGTTACATGTTAGATTCCTGACCTGTCTATTGGACAACATGCTGGCCTCTCCCCGCTGGCCCTGCTCTGACCTCGGGATCTAAATGTGAAAGAATACTTTGTGTCTCCATGGGGCTGAGGGCAAAAGGAGAGCGGAGGAAAGGGGGAGGAGGGTGGTTAGTAGAGAAGGAAGAGGAGCAGGAGGTGGAGGAGGGGTACGGGAGGGCTTGGAGAAGCTAATAACAAAAACTTAAAATGGCCAGTTAATCACAAACAGCAGTGATCACTCACACTGCCATAGAACAATGTCTCAGCTGCTGCTCCCCCAGTGGCTGCAGATCATCATTTAGTCTCCGAGGTTCTTCTGGGAACCACGTCTGATTCACTCGCAAAGACAGTGGTCATTTATAGGACATTCAAAATGTCCAAAAAGTTTAGATGAAATATTAAAAAAAAAGGAGAGAATATTTTCTACTATTCCTTTGTGGGCTGATGCTTAGTAAATTAGAAACTGTTATTAATCTGCAAGCAATAAATTAATTTTTCCTTGCTAAGTGCGATCTCATGGGAATTGTCACTAATTAGAAATACTTTCTTGTTAAAGTGGCTTGTTTAGATACATTACAAATAAAATGAAAGAAAAAGAAATCTCTGTGCGCTCCAATTCTTCTCTTTGTGTTTGAAGAAGAAGAAGATCTAGTTAAATGTGCCTTCACAGAGAGTGAGCATTCAGGGACTGCTCACTCTTCTGCCCTGACACTGACTGACACACACACACACACACACACAGACCAGTACGGACTCTCTTCAGTGTCTAAGACGATGGCCACTC